CAAGAGATGATAAGGGCCTAATTGAAGACTGAGAGAGAGGTTGCAGAAAAGATTTGAGAGAATTTTTACAATGGAGTGGACGGTGGGAAGTGAGGAAAAAAGATTGGAGCAACAGTTTTCGTTTAGGAGCACTTGGTAATTAGCGTTGCCTTTAAATAGAATGGAAAAGAAGGAGAAGCAGGTGAGTTGGGTGACGGCTGTGGAAACAATGGGTTCACTTTTGGACCTGTTGAAATTCAGGTGCCACGTGGGGACATCATTCGTTCATTGGATATCCAAGTTTGAAGTTTGAGAAAGAGGTCTGGGCTGGAAAAACAGATGTGAGTGACATCTAACAATTTGGAAGCATGATTCTATTAAAAACAGATTGTGTTTTCTGTATATGGCATTGGACAACTGACTAATACTTCAAAAGTATAGAGTTTATTTGAAGATATAGTTTTCTCTAGAAATTTAAGTTACTTTTAGATCATGTTTTTTTTCTTTAATGGTGTCATCTTTTATGTGGGGAATTGGGCATACCAGGGCAGGGGAAGAAAGCAGTACAAACTGAATACAATCTGCAAATTGAACTTGGGGTTTTAACATTGACATTAAAACTGTTACTTGCCTTTTCAGTATTAGAGATTTAAAAAACACACTGATAAACTATGGAAAACTGTATAGTTGCATTTAATCTTGGAATGTTGTAAAATGTTCTTTACCAACAGTGCTTTACCAGTTCCTGGGAATTCAGAAATCTGAAAAGCCTATCATCTTTTATTTGTCAAAGTGGGATTTTCAGGAATACCCCTTTGTAAAATTGTCTTTTGTATCCAGGAATCTAACCTAACCCTAAACTTAACTCAAACCCTAAATTGTAACCTTAGCTGTAACTCTGGACCCAACCCTAACCCCAAGTGAATGAATCTGTGCACCTAGACCTATACCTCATCTTCAGCTGAGCCTTAACCCTAACACTAATCACTAACTTAACCATAACCCCAACTCTGAACCTAAATATAGCACTGGCTCTTTCTTGTCACTAACCCTAACTGGAACCTAGAACTGGTAGATCTATGGGGAAGACTTATGGGGGAAAAAGGGGGAAAGACCCATTTCAGGGGTAGACCTATGGGAGAAAATGTTCTTCAGGTCTCTAGTAATTAGATAATCAAAACTGAGCAATGAATCTCAGAATAAATGAGTAATTTATAAGCAGATCATCAGCAGACCATCTTTAACAACATATCATGATTAGGTAACCTGAGTTTTCGGTTAAAAATGTCCAAAGGTCTGGCTATTGTTCCTGGATGTCCTACAGGACATACTTGCTTCTGTTCTCTAATTTCAGAATGTGTGTTTTACATTTACCTAAAGGTTGCTGCGAAAATTTGGTGAATATTTCTGAAAGGAAGGTCCAAATTAAGAGTACATTTTCATAGACTTCACAAAGGTGTAGGCTAACCTTGCTCCCAGTCTTCTAGGACTCCCCAAAGTGTAATACTATCCTATTCCGGAAGACTTACAGAAAGCTGGGGCTCTTTCATTTATATCTAAATCCCGATGTGACCCATAGCCAGACCTTACCAGCTGTAACTCATGTCTGTTAGACTAGCAGTCATTAAGACAATGTGCAGTGTTGGGCCCTGGGAATTATAGAAGTAATATAAGATACTGTATGCATTCAGAGACTTTACGGCCAAGCTGAGGAAAAAAATGATTAACATTCATTAAACAATGAGAGAGTATGACGGGACAGAATGTAGTTCAGTGCTGTATTATGTGGTACAGACCTGGATACTGAACTGCTTAAAAGTGTGGACAATACTTTCTCTTTTCTATATAACACTCAGCAGCTTACCAAAACTTTGTAACACACATTCAATCTCTCTTAGGATCCTGGGAAGTTCATAGAAGGCAGGTATTAGTATAATTGTTCATATTTCCATATGTAGAAATAGGCTCAGAGGAGTTAATTATATCCCCCCAACTCTCCCAGCAAAAGCAGCAAAGCAGAGTTTTGAACATAAGTTGGTCAATTTCAAATCCAATGGGAATGCAAGTTGGTCAAATCCAATGGGAAGCTCATTCTATTTCATGGAGTAAATGAGACTTGAACTGGGCCTTGGAGGATTGAGTAAAATTTGAAGAAATGAAAGGAAATGAGAGTATTTTGAATGGGGTAAATACTTTAAGGAGAAAGCAAGAAGCCAAGAATGGGATAGTGAAGAGACAGAGAGGGGAGTGGATGAAGTAAGATTGGTTGCAGAATATGGGGCTTTGAGAGCCAGGCAAGGGGTTTATATTACGTGTACGGTTTCACTAAGAAGTCAGTGAGCGGATGGTGGCATAAAGGAAGCGTGTGTGGGAATCTGATAGTGCGCAGGTGTACGGGGAGGATTAGAACAAGGAGGTCCCAGAGGCAGGAAGGCCATTTTAGGTCGCTCTGTGGTGTGGCTACAAGGAAGGGCCTGGAATGGGGTAGTAAGAGTTAGTGTTAAATGAAAATAAATGGGTTAAAAAGAGACGAATCAAAAGGATTGACTTAGTGCTCGACTGAGCATGAGAGAGGGAGAAAGTGAAAAAAAATCAAAGAGTTCCAAATTTCAAATAACTAGTTCTGTGGCCTCAGGCAAGTCATAGGATGTGTCTGGACCTCTCATCTGAAGACTGTGTGATGGCAGAAGCTGACAGCAACCCTCACCTCACATGTGACTGAAACTTGTTATGTATGCAGAACTGTTGGATTAATCAGCTGCTTTAATTATGAGGGGCAATTTTTAAATGTCTAGAAAGATATTCTCAATAACATTACTGAAAATAATGAAAAATTGGGAAATATCTAAATGTTCTACAATGGAGGAAGAAGTAAATAAATTATGACTATTATGTGGAAATTAAAATCACATTTGTACAACATGGGGACATAAATATTCAAAATATAAAGGTAGGTGGAGAAAACAGGACACAATACTATCTGAACATTATTAAAAATAAATATATGGGTAGAAAAAAGGACTGGAAGAAAACATTAAGTGATTATCTCTGGCTGATGGTAATGTGGCTGATTTGTATAATCACTTTTGTGCTTTGTACTTTTCTGGAATTTCCAAATTTTGTACAATGAAGCTTTTTTCTTTTATAATAAGAAAAAATATTTAGGGAAAAAAATGAGATCGGCCACTACTGTTTAAAATCTTTAGATGTGTTGTGTCCCTTCTGTTTAAAAATAAAATATAGAATAGGTATGTACATCCTTCTCTATCTGACTTGGAAAATATCGGTGGGGTGGAATAGCTTTGAAGAAGTGCCAGAGATGGAGAGGTGACCTTCTTAGGAAACAGGGAATAGAGCTGAAGAAGATTCCGGTACTGCACAGAGCAGAGATGAGTGCCTTTACTGAAAGAAAATCGGAATCCTTCTCTGTAAGGTAGTTTGATCTCTGGAAAATGCTTACAGCTCAGATAAATACAAAAGCAGCTCCGGAAGTAGCTAAGAATGTAGTTATGTCACAATTGCAAACAGTGCTTCATTGTACAAAGTATTTCATTAGGTTTGCTAACCTAAAGGAGACCTTTGCCAGGATTCCTCTTGGTTTTCCACTAGGCCTGCAAAATGTTTTCATTGATTGTGCATTCAGGCACAAGTGGAAATTGACTATCCTGTGCGTTATGAAACATTTATGTGTTAAGAATTTTTAATAAGCATTTGTATAACTAAACAAAATATTCCTAGGAAATAAGACCACAAATGTGCCCTTGAGGAACATAATTGAAAACCAGTAGAATAATTCTTAGAATCTTGATATTGATATGGATCCATGATAGTTCCTGGCTTTGTGCTCAGTAAACAGGTAATATGACGTGACAGGGCTATTTATCTGAAGCAATATGAAGTGTTACAATGGTCTTTGACTCAGTTTTCTGCTAAATATGTTATTTCACATGACCTCGTACTATCACTTAAGTCAAAACCCATGGAATTATCTTTGGTAGGCAGATAGTTTCTGACCGTTGGAGCATTCCTTTTGGTTTATCTTGGAATTTGCTTTACATTTACCTTTGTGGTGTTGTTTTCAGTAAATATATGCTAGTTCAGGGAACTCTCCTCAAATAGTTTTTTCTCCTCCCTACGATTTATGTCGGCCTTGCTATGTTTCCCCTCACTGTCTGTTCTGGATGTCCCTCTGCCACATAACAGGTAAAACACACTAGGGTCTGCCAGGGAGAGCTTGAGTTCTCTAAACACAAAGGTCCCCGAAACGCAAAAAGGCCAAACCTGAAAAGGGTCAGGGTACAACCTCTGTCTGGTTTTTCTTTTGGATCAGCTGGTTATTAGACTTTGGGTAGGCTCAGCTATGCTAATTTTCTTGGCTGTGCTCACATCTGTAAAAACGGCATGAAAGTAAACAAACGAGCATAGCAAACAGGGGAAAAACTTTCCCACTACCTCTTGCCATCTCTCAGTTTGTGATTTTTGCCTATATTTTATGCTGCCCAGTGGACAAAACTGCTTCATGCAGAGTTGGAGGTTTTTCCCAGTTGTACGATACTTGTCTATATAGGTCGTCAAAGTAAATACTGTAAGATCGTTTGCTTATGATATATCACCATAGATGATGCCAGAAACATTAGGAAAACAAAGATTCGCATGTCAATACTAATTTTTTAAAAGTTGGACCTCAGTAGAATATATTTGCACCTTTACAAATATCTCACAGGAGGAAGGTAAACACTGCTGGGAAGGAAGGATAGAGGATGGTAACAGAATGGGAACTTTATGGCCTTACTTGCAAAAATGAAATAATTAGGCTGGAGATGGCTTTTCTATTGTTGTCCTCTCACCCTGTAGTTTTACTTGAATGACTGTCAAAATAAACGACAAGTTATCACACCGTGTATAATCAATGTGACATCTGGGGCTCCATAAGAGGCCACTGTTTCTCTAACTTTAGCTAACCAGTGCACTTCCTGTAGCGTGCTTTGGGTTAATTGTCAGAGCCAAAGGGTCTGATTACCCTCGGCTTGTTTTAGAATCACTTTCTCTCTCTCTCAGCTAGAAGAAATGTCTCTTGCTGCACTTACCGCATTCCAGCATTGAAAAAGCCTGTTCTTTTGACAAATATATACAAGCAAAGAGCTAAAGGGGTAGCTCCATCCATTTGAAGAAACTTTTAAATCGTTTTGTAACTGATGATTCCTAATTTGCTTGATACATGTACATTTTACACCTTTTCCTTGACAAGTGAGCCGAGATTGTGTGGTGGTTTTCATTGTGGCCTGAAGTATAGAAGAGAAGGAGAATGAGGAAGAAAATATTTTTGAGATTTTACAGAGAGAAGGACTGAGAGTTTCACTCTGTTGTGGAATCCACTGGAATAACCAAAGTCACTCACACCAGGCAGCTTAACTGAACGCATTTTTTATACTTTAAGTTTCTGACACAACCTCAAAGCAAAGAGGAACCTCTCCAAGGACCTAATCAGATGCAAGCCTGGTAAGTCACTGACTAGCACGGAAACTTTCATGTGAAGCAAAACACTAGTAAGAATATATTTTTAGGAGGAAACTTTGGGTCCTTAAAAAAATTCTGTCCTTTCTACAACCATGAGTGTGTAAAAATAAGAATTCTCACACGGTAGATGAGGTGATTTGGGGTATCTTGCCAGGCTGCTTTGTGTTATGTTTTCCTTAGGAGGAAGGAGAGACAGAGAATATTCTTAGTTTTACCATCTAAATCTACTCTTTAAAATCAAATTGCCAGTGACTGGGTGTTTGAGGCTCCAGGCAGGTTGATGCCCTGTGAATCATGCTTTTATTTCAGTATGTTTTGCAATATTGACTGGTTGGATATACAGAGTTTTCACGAACATAAACTGAAGGATGATTTTATTGGAAAACTCAAGTATATCTTGCTTTTAGAAGATCCAGTTCCATTTTTTAAAAACCTTGCTTTTTGTCCTTTAATAATATTTTTAGTGTTGAAGAGATGAAACCATAAAGCATTGAGTTGATGACAAAGAAGATATAAATGAAACTGTAATAGCAAAAATATTAGAATAAGATGTGCATTTCCACAGAAAAGCTGGACATCTAAACTTCAAAACACAGAGGCAGAAAAGGTAACTTTTTACTTTACATTTATCCATAGAAATTGCCTTTATTTTTGTAACCAGACCCACTAAGCTGGCCTTTATATGATCCTTTGCCCTCATGAAGCAAGTGGGGAAATACCTCTATGTGAAATGATTGCAGTTTATTAAATGTCAAAGAGAAACTTGTTAACCAGACGTATCAGATAACCAATTGCCATGCAGAGCAGTTGACAACCACGGGACTACACAAAATGCATAGTTTATAAATAATTAGGAAAAAGATTAGAAAGCATGCACTCATGTTATGCTATATGTTCCTAAAAAGAATAAATATTACCAGTAGTGTCATTCATAAGAATGATTAAGTATCAGTGTGTTAGAAAACTGTGAATGCAGACAATTTCAGCCTAACTCCATAATCTCAGATATGGGCAAGATGTAAGCATAGGAATGAGGTTTCAAGGACAAGCGTTGGGGGAGGGGAGTCCAGGTTTGATGTATTTTTTGTGGCTATGGACTGAAAAAACCAGTTTCCCAGGAAGGACTCCTGCAGTTAGGAGATGGGATTTTTTTTCCCTTCTCTAGTCCTGAGAATTTCTCTTCCCTGAGATGAGGGAAGGAATGGAAGCCTCTCAGTCTCTTTTCTGGATGTTCTTGTTCTTTGCAAAGGAGGAAATTAAATTGCCAGGATAGGATCCTGGCCAAGTCAGAGAAACCCTCAGGGGATCTATGGGATTCTATGGGGCTGAGAAGGCCTACCTGACATGAACCCCCTGCAATTTTATGCAGAATTGCTGGTGAAGAACCACTGCTTTGCATAAGGAGAACATTTGAAGAAAAGCACTTGCACAAGTAGAGGAGAGACAGGTCTTTGAACTACAGCTGCCTTTGAAGCTAGGGCCTCTATTGCTCTAATATACACTCTAGATCTCGGGATATTCAGGAAAAAAACAGGCTCAATTCAAGACCTCTCGGCTCGTGCTTTGTACAGGGATCTGTGTACGGAGGGCGAGAGGACAAGATGCTTCCTGCCCTTTGCAAATAAATACAGGTCAGCCAGTGAAATTTAGGAACACTATAATTGGGTTAGACTTGCCCAGGCAGTGACAGAGAGGGTCAGTTGGGAGTTGGGAGATGAAGACTCAAGTGGAAAATCAGAATACTAGAACACTCGGATCACAGGAAAGGAGGCATGTGGTTCTGATGATCGAGGCAAAGAGAGAAATTGGGAGCTAGAAGTAGTCAGTGAGAGCAGAATAGGGCAGGCTGAAAGGAAGGAATCATGAAGGAATCACGACTCCGAATTGATGCGCCAGGGGAGCTGGCCATGGCCACGGTGGCCTAAAGGTGCTGCAGCAGATCGGGCAAACTCTCTTCCCCATACTGTGGGTAGGCAAACTCTGGCTAAAATATTATATCATGGATTAAAAGTTACCTCAAGAAATCTTCTATTCTGACTCCCTCATTTCATATACACGGAAAGTGAAGCCTGTGGCCTAACTAACCCAGAACCATACAGGGAAGGAAATCAGAGAAATTAGCTAAATTGACACAGTTCAGAGTCAGCAGAGATGTCTAATGGCCTTCTCACACTTGGCATGTCCCAAACTCTACCCCTACATTTTCTTTGTCTACAACCTTTCTCCATTAATGGCATCTCCATCTTTCCTGGAACTTCGGGGTCACTCTTGATTTTGCTTTTTCTCTCACACCTACATTCAATCCTTCAGGAAGTTTAGTCAGTTCTGCCTTCAGAAATATCCCGAATCTGACCATTTGGTTCAAGCCGCCAAAGCTCCGCCCTGGGTGATTGCAGGAGGTGCTCTCTCTGCTTGTCATGTGCCCCCTCCATGTATATGTTCAACACGACAGCCAGAATGACGATGTTAAAGCATAAGTCAGATCACATTCCTCTGCTGCACTAAACGAACAAATAAACTGCGAATGAATAAAATATCTCCTTGAGTAGCATTAGGAAAGAAAGAGCCATTATTTATGTGATATATGTCATTCACCTGGGAAAGGGAAGGAGGGAGGTGAGGGAAACTAGCATTTTTTGAGAGTCTATGATGGAATTTGTGTAAAGGAACTTGTATGGTGCTTTTTGCACATCTGGCACTCATGACATGGTAGCTGTTTTTATTTTATTTAATTTTTACCGACTTCATGAGGTGGATATTATGATCCCTTTTTGGCAGGTAAGGAAACTTTGGCTCAGAGACAGGTTATAGATTTCAGGGTCACTTAACTAGTGGTGGTGGAGCAAGGATTCAATCCCAAGGCCATGCACCTTCCCCAATCCTATTGTTCCACTATGATCTTCAGAAAGGACCCCTAGGAGCATACAGCAGGTGTATATATGCACGCATGTAGGCATTATTCACCATAGACATGGATAAGACGGAAACTGGCAAAAACTCCTCCCTGGTGCCTCTTAACTTCTTTTTATAACCCAGCTGCTGAGCCCTTTGCCTTACTCCTGGACACCCATTCAGTGTCTCATATTTTCAGATGTCCTTAACCTCAGCGATCATCATTCCATTATTCAACCTGTCTGAGTTTCACTTTTCTCATCTGTAAAACTGAAATGATTATATCCCCCTCATGGATTCATTATGAAGATTAAGCAAGAATAAAAGCCAACATTTATTGAGTGCTTGCTGTATACCAGATAGTACTACAGTACTATTTTAAGCACCTTATATGGATTAATTTATTAATCTTCACAACTACCCTATGGAGTGAGTATAATTACTATCATTGTGATCATTTAATGAGTGGATAAGCTGAATATCAGAGATTAAATGACCTGCCCAAGGTTACCCAGCTAACAGCAAAGATTCAAACTGGGGCAGTCTGACTCTGTGGACCCTTTGCGCCATTTCCCCTATGCGTCTTCATTTGTAAAACAAGGATAATCTCTAAATAATAAATAATATTAAAATAAGCATAAGATGATAAGAAAGAATAGCTATCATTTACTAAATGCCAACTTGTACAAAACAGTGTGCTTGCTCCCCTGCACTGGCCCCTCTGGGGGCCTCCAGCACTGCAGAGTTATTATAAGGATAAATGACATGACTAGTGCTTGCACATCACAGAAGATGAATAAATATTGTCTGCTTTCCACTCAGAGATAACCAGTATCAATACTTTTACATAGAAACTTCTAGACACTTTTCTATGCCTACTTACAAATAAATAAGTAAATATGGATTATATTGTACACCCTATTTTCAACATCCAAATTTGTTCATATTTTGCATAGTAAAAAAAACAACATGCTTTCTCAGTGAATTTGATGTCACCCCCAAGTCAGAAAACATTCTTGGGGTTCTTGAGGGAGGAAAAAAATCTAGATATTGCAATGGTTTGTGACTCTCCCTGCCTTTCTAAATATATTTTATTTTTGTTTTTAAGGAAGGTTCTGCATCATGTGTTGTTAATTTGCAAACTGGGTTATTTTGTTTTTCTCTCTCAAGAATTGAGTCTTTTTAATTTACATGAAGCCTTTAGTTGGTTTCTTTTCTTTTCTTTTAAGATTTTATTTATTTATTTGACAGAGAGAGACAGTGAGAGAGGGAACACAAGCAGGGGGAGTGGGAGAGGGAGAAGCAGGCTTCCCGCTGAGCGGGGAGCCCAAGGTGGGGCTCGATCCCAGGACCCTGGGATCATGACCCAAGCCGAAGGCAGACACTTAATAACGACTGAGCCACCCAGGTGCCCCTAGTTAGTTTCTTTTCAAACACTTGAGTGTAGTCAGTAGACCTTCACAGGGGAAAAAAAAATCCCCACCATTAAAGCGACAGACCACATGCTTGGGCTTCTGAAGCTGCTTGGTTTCTTCTCGGCGTGCCCTGGGCCTGTAATTTGACTATCCCCGCTTATGAAAGCTTTCATCCCCTACTACCTGAATTCTCAAGACTATATAATCTTCACAGGGTGGTAAAATGCTACAATATTTTACAATTTTTATAAAATTTTGTATTTTGCAACTATTACAAAAAAGTAGACTATGACTCACACAGTTTTACTGGAGCCATCCTTCAAGCAAGTTCATGAATAATATGATCTCAACAATATTTTGTTGGATGAAGCATCAGCAGAAACTGATAGTTTAGAGTCTGAGAAATCCGTTTAGGAGACGATAGTAAACATAAAGTCCCCCTATAATTTACATCTCATGTTTAGCCTTGCGGTTTGTTCTATCCCATATACATACATATGTCTGAAGGTTTGATAGGGAATTTTTAGGTCACCACGATCTCTGCTCAGTTTTTTTTTTTTTTAAGATTTTATTTATTTATTTGAGAGAGAGAGACAAAGATAGCGACAGCACGAGAGAGATGAGCAAGCAGAATGTGGAGGGGAGGGAGAAGCAGGCTCCTGCTGAGCAAGGAGCCCGATACAAAACTCAATCCCAGGACCCTGGGATCATCCCTGCTCAGTTTTAAACAGGGCTAATGAATCGTTGAACACTACATCAAAAACTAATGATGTACTATATGCGGGCTAACTGAACATAATAAAAGTAAATAAATGAAAATTAAAATTAAACAGGAGTTTAATATCTTAAACATTTTTAACTTTCAAATGACTTCTCTGGAAAAAAACAAACATAGATTTCTTAGGCAGAAAATACAGACCAACCATCAAAACAGATAATCAATATTTTTTAAATCACTCTTGAAAGGATAATAAGAGCAGCTGACATTTTTTTTAAAAGAGTTTTATTTATTTATTTGACCGAGAGAGACACAAGCAGGAGGAGTGGGAGAGGGAGAAGCAGGCCTCCCGCTGAGCAGGGAGCCCAATGTGGGGCTCCATCCCAGGACCCTGAGATCATGATCTGAGCTTAAGGCAGACCTTAACAACTGAGCCACCCAGGTGCCCCAACAGCTAACATTTTTATAGCACTTGTTTACTTGTGGGCACGTCCCTAAGGGCTTTATATTACATGTAATTAATTTATATGAAGCATAGTTTTCACAAATATCTTACGAGATAGGGACTTTAAATAATGATTGGAAATAAAAAGAAATTTATCTCAATAAATAAATTTTGAGAAAAATAAGATTGCTTTAACGTACTCATGTGTGAAAATGGGTATAGTCAACAAATTTGATGGTGGGAAAATAATGGAACGTATAACAAAATAGCTTAATTTATTTTTTTCTAAAAAGATAACTTAAGAAGCCATTGGATAGCTTGGCTAAAAACACTTTTTGGATATTGTCTGATCTTAAAATCATCAGGAAAAAAGTTTGATGCATTTAAGAAGTCTCAATCATTTCACCATCTATGTCAGTCAAATTATAATGCTGTACACCTTAAGCTTATGCAGTAGTGTTGTATATCAATTTTATCTCCATAAAACTGGAAAAGAAAAAAGAAATCTCTTAGGAGTAAGAGTGTCAAGGTTAAGCAAAGAAATATTGCTTGCAACATACAATTTGAAAATAAAGAAGGGAGGCATTCCTAGGAAGTTAGTAACTTAGTTGCCAGGGCAACTCTTTTATGATAAAACAAAGGAAAGTCAAAGGAAATGTTCTGTATGCTGTGGGGTTTTTGTTGTTGTTTCTTCCTTATTTTGTTCTGCTAGACATAAGGAAGAGAACACTTAGGGTTTTGGAGCAGAGAGGAAGAAAAGTAACTTTCTCCTAGAAAAGAAGATTCAGGGATTTTAGATTCCTTGAATAATTAAGACTTAGATACAGATAAAGTCCTACTAATTAGAATAAAGAACAATTAAAGGCCTGATAGGGCAATAAGCTTTCTTGTCTAACAAGATTGTTGCATATATGTAATATACATAGTAGACAATCAATTTCTGATCTTAAGAAAAGGCTCAGTGAGTCCTTCTTAAAGTCAGAACTATTAAACTTGAATTCTAATTCAGAGTAGCCAAATGTACCTGGATGTTTTGAGTTTCTTTAAATCTTGCTCTGTATCAGCTTATGTAGTTATGCAAGAGTTAATAAATATTTTCCCTCTCTCACTCTATTTTCTAGAAAAGAATAATTGACCGGATTGTAACTAAGTGTATTACTTCTTAGCTGGAAAGTATACATCACTCATCTGCATCTCCATACTTCATCACTTTTCACCTGGTGGCAACTCAGCTTCCCTATTGGAAACATAATTAGTGTTCTGTGATAGTATGTGTATACTCAAACCTTTTGTGATAGCACACATTTTAGGTTTAATATTTTATAAAGGATTGTACACATATTGGGTCAGTGTCTATATGGTAAGCCGGGTATTTTCCCATTTCTAATAAAACCCTAGCTTAGAGCTTCCTGCTTTCTGAGCTTTGTAGGAGGCAGCCAGAAACCAGTGTATGTTACCTGAGACATGTTTGTTTCCTTTGGCTCTCAACTGAGTTTGGCATCGTCTTCCCTTTTCCTTGGCAGAAGGTAGAAATTAGAACCGTGAAGGGGATTTAAATGCAGCATTTGGGGCAGCACCCTGCCAAGCAAGCCAGCCATTGACACCCGAGGTAAGGTTATGACAAGGTTTCTCAACAGTTATGACTCCAAGAGTGAAGATTAACATTCACCTTGCCTTGGACTGATGTTACTTTTACTCCCCTCTGAAAACAATCAAGATAACCATGTCCATGTTCAGATTGTCTCAATCAGCTGTGGTTTCTCTTTCAGACAAAAGTGGTGCCAATGAATGTTACTTCTGCTCTGGCCTAAATAGCACTTTTCTCTTTATTTTAAAGTGTCATTTTACCAGGAGATGTAGTGAGGGGAGGAAAAAGCTTTAAATAAATAAGCTTTTTCTTTCTTTGTTAAGCTTTGCTCCCTGAAGACCAGTGTCCATAACATCTCTACGTAAACTCAGTTTACTCCTATTTCATCTCCAATAGCCATGCCCGCTCTTGGAGAGAGATGGCTTTCTAGCTTATTCAGAAAAGAAGCTATGAGGCATATTCATGCCTTAGCTTCCCTCTTGTCTGCTTCTAAAGTAACCATATGTTTACCCATCTTATTCTCCCTCCTATCTTAGAGGAAAAGAAATCCTTCATTTCTTTCCAAAGCCAATTTTTTTCATCTTTGTTAATGATCTTTCTCTTTTCCCACCTTTTCTGGGGTTTAATTTACTGATTTTTCTACTCTCTTTCTCTCTTCTAGCTTTTCTTTCCCCCTGCCTGTAAATGTAGATGAGTCTCAACCTTGCACAAAAACCTTCTCTAAGGTCACACACTCCATCCAGTTACCCCCCTTTTCCTCTGCTTGGTTTCATTGCCAACTTCTTTTTTTTTAAGATTTTTATTTATTTTATTTTGAGAGAGAGAGCAAGAGAGAGAAAGAGCACAAGCAGGGGGAGCAGAGGCAGAGGGAGCTGAGCAGGGAGTCCGAAGCAGGACTGGATCCCAGAGATGCTTAACCAACTGAGCCACCCACATGCCCCTCATTGCCAACTTCTTGATAGAGTTTTCTACAATCACTACTTTCTCATCTCTCATGTACTTTTCACCTTGGTTTCCGTCCTCATGACTCAACTGAACTTATCATAGCAAAGGTCATCCTTGGTCTCAAATCCAGTGTCCTTCTGAGTGGTCATCTAACTGGACCTCAGCACAGCCCTCCCTTCCAACACTCCTCCCCTGGGTTTGTAAAGCAGCTCTCTTCTCCCTAACTAGTCTCACCCTTAAATGTCACCCATGGTTCTGTCCTGGGTTGATATTAATTGAGGCTGAGGAGGTGGACTTGGCAATGGCTCCTACCATGTTCTGTCCAGTGACACTTCAAGGCATGGATTAGTCATTGGGTTCCATTTTCTCTTCTTCCCTATAGTATTACAGAAATTAGAATTTTGCAAAATATCTGACACTCAAATCCAGGAGTTGCTATTGTTGTTTTCCTTCTTGCCTCACCCTAATAGAGGAAGGAATTCACCTTTGGTGACAAAGGCCTTGGTCATTCTCTTTGTCATGTACTGGCTTATTGAAGTAGATCAGAACAAAAGAGGGTCTTTATGAAAGTATGTGAAAACTTGGACAGTTCTTGCATCTGGGCTCTTTGGATTAAGTCAAAATGAACATTTTCCCTACATGGTGCTACCATGAGTCCATGTGCCCCTGAGTCTGGTGTCTCAGTGAAAGACATGGCAGCATGGTCCATTCTAGTGGAGTCATTGCATAAGGTTTTTTTTTTAAGATTTTATTTATTTGGGGAACCTGGGTGGCTCAGTCTGTTAAGCGGCTGCTTTCAGCTTAGGTCAGGTCATGATCCCAGGGTCCTGGGATGGAGCCCCCGTTGGGCCCACTGCTCAGCAGGGAGTCTGCTTCTCCCTTTCTTCCCCGCTCATGCTCTCTTTCGCTATCTCTGTTGCTATCTCTCTCTCTCTCAAGTAAATAAAATCTTAAAAAAAAATAATAAACTGCAGTTGCTGTGGTATATTGTGAATTTTGAAAAAAAATTATTTATTTGAGAGAGAGGGAGAGAGCGAGAGCAAGCTATAGCGGGGGGAGGGGCAGAGGGAGAGAGAGAGAAGCAGGCTCCCTGCTGAGCAGGGAGCCCCACACAGGGCTCGATCCCAGGACCCTGGGATCATGCTCTGAGCTGAGGGCAGTCGCTTAACTGAATGAGCCACCCAGGTGCCCCTGCATAAAGTGTTTTTGATGTACAAGTACTATATCTTTATTTAGAAAATGGCTGTACTTGTTACAAGTTATGCAATATCTCTTTGCCATGGCATTGAGAAATGTCCGGGAAATCACCCAGGGAAGCTTTCCTGTGGTCTCTGGGTATATTCCCTTAAAGGTTTCTCCAAAGTTAGATGATTCACTTATGCTACAGATTTGTTTGTGGAGGCTGTAGTTACTTGCCTACTTCTCATTTCAGCAGAGTCTTCCTTTTCTCCTTTTTTTTCTTTTCTGCCCTTCCTTCTTGCTCATGGGACTATTTTACTGGAAACTATTAATAACCCTCCCAAAACTGCACGTTCAACTTTCTTCTAAAGAACAGAGGAAACAGACAACAGAAGTTGTGAACATACCAAACTGAAAGAGAAAAATTTAGAAAGTAGCAAAGAAGCCTGAAATAAAGTGTAAGACGTATCTCATGGCCGCGAGGGAGAAGGAGAGCAGAGAACCTATCGCAGAAGCTATAGGAATTTCAAAGGCCTTCTCTGGCACCATGGTATCAGTGAAGAGGGAAACTAATCATCCCAGATAGGTAGTTGGGAGTTTTAGAGTTTCAAAATTCACTTAATATTGCACCGTTCACATGTGTAATAGGTGTAATAAAGTTTATTTCTAGCACTTATTAAAAGCCCAGTGTACTGGGGTTTTTTTGGAGGAACTAAACATATCGATTTTCTCAGGCTCAAACAATCCTTTGGTTTTCCTTTTTTTCAGACATAACTTTTAAAGGAATGTGAACACTTTTGATAATTTTCCAAGGAGCATTTATTTACAGTCACCCTTTTAGGTTGTAAAGAATTATCAGAAGACTCTTTTCTTTACCTTACTTTGTAGTTTTGTATATTCTAGACAGTTCAAAGGTTTACACCAGAATAAAGCCACTTGAATTTAGAGTGGAAGTGCTTGGGTGGGAAAGGATTGATCATGCTAATGATATTGTATATTGTTTGTTCTTTCCTTCCATCTCCCAAATATTTCCATCCATCTATACCCAAACAAAAAGTTGTTTATTCCTTTTTGTTTAGTTTTGCTTCACATTTCTTTTTAATCAAAGTATTCACTAATTACTTTGGGAGTTTAAGTTACCCAGTCTAGTAAAACACCATCCAGAGTCTGAAATTATGTAACACCACCCTTTTGAATAATCTACAATGTTTGTAACTCAGCTGCAAAGTTTTTTTCACGATCTAATGTTTCTTCAGAAGTTGAATGGCAAACAGCAGGGAATCTATCATTTCAGAATTCTCCTTCCGGTAGAATGAATCTAGGATTTATGCTTTAGATACACGTGAACACAGTTGCAAAATTATCCATCTTGCTGAAGAGCAGAGTTGAGACCAGACAAAAGAATGTACAATTCAGTGGTTTCCTTTTGCTCAATTTATAATGATTCCACTGTAAGCAGTATAAATAATGATAATTTTTTTCTCAAACCTTGCCTTGAATCAGAATCGGAGGGCCGGCTCCATACGGATTGCTGGGCTTCACCTCCAGAGTTTCTGATTCAGTGGTCCTGGGGAAGCCTGAGAATTTGCATTCGTAACGAGTTCCCCGGTGATGTTGATGCTACTTGTACGGAGATTGCACGGTGACAGCCGCTGCTCTAATTATAATGTTACAGCATGATAATTATACATGGTAATTTGAGTTTCTATTTTCCTCTCTGCATATACGAGAGAAACTGAACGATTAATGTGGGAATTGCAATTTTTGGTAAAGAACACACACTGAAAAAAATGATATTTTAAGAACTGGCTATTCCCTATAACCTCAAAAGTATAACATAGTATATATAAAACACCTGAGACAAACTGAGTCATCTTTTTCTCAGTGATTTGCTGCTACGGAACAACTCTCTGGTTTTGCCTTTGCAAACAGACCACGAGATTGACTTCAGATGACTATTGCTGAGGCTGGATCCATTTATACACAAAACCCGTCTCATCAGCAGTCCAGTTACATTTTCAATCCTGTTGGCCTATTTGACACCACAATATGTAATTAATGGTCATCTGCCCCAGTGACAGGATTAAATCAGGACATGCTACTACAGCCAAAGCAAGTGTCTTTCTCTGGTAGGTTTACCTTTGGAATTCAAACACAAATCAAATTCCCTGAGTCGCTATTCAAAGAACAGGTGCAAGAGTGCCCCACAATGTGTTTTTATTGGTTTTGCCTCACTTTTTAAAAAAGTTTAACAATTTATGGTTTTTGAAGACCACTAGTCTTTTCTTTGAATATTCCCTATATTGGATAGTTCAACTTTTTTTAAAGCCCCAAGAGAGAAGAGCTCGAGGAGCTCTGGCAAGCACAACTCACACACTATACAAAAGGCAAGCAAAGATGGCACAGCCATAATTGAGCCACGGCTGTGGCTGTGGATGCCTGTCCACAGAGGCTGGTAGATGCATGCCGCAGGAAGAAGAAAAGCCCCACGGTGCACAAGGACTGTGCTCTTACGGGACTGTTAGCTCTGGTGACTGTTGTACAGAGGCTGATGAAGAGCAGTGGAATGGCGTTGAGTATTAAACATGCACAGTAGTAGAAGTGCTTACATATTTTTCTTTCCAAACATTTGGTGTCCTGCAACATGCAGCCTGAGTCTAAAAGAGCTATACAATTGCTATTGTTTAAATCTGGTTCTACGTTAGCAAAATTATCTTAAGGGAAAACATGGGGAAATGGATCAACAACATTGCATTTGGTTATGATTGTCAAGCATGTTCTCTCTTTGATCTGCCTCATCTAGATTGCTTCCCCTCAACTTTCAGTGTAAAACTGCCACCAGGGAGAGGCAAAGAGAGTCAGGGAAGTGCTTTTAGCCTTTGCCTCTTTCCTGCTCTTCATTTTTGAACCCTTTTGTCCTACCCCCTTTATCTCTCCCTTTTACCACCCCTTCCTCTTCTAATATAGAAAATGACGATAAAGTCATGAACTGGTTGCCCAGCTGCACACGAGAAACAATTCTTTTCTTTTTAAGATTTTATTCATTCATTTATTTATTTGAGAGAGTGAGTGAGCTTGAGCAGAGAGAGGAGCAGAGGGAGAGGGACAAGTAGATTCTGGGCTGAGCATGGAGCCCGACAAGGGGCTCCATCCCATGCCACTGAGATCATGACATAAGCTGAAACCAAACGTCAGACACTTAGCTGACTGAGCCACCCAGGTGCCCCACAATCCTTTTATTTTATAGCTATGACTAGAATAGATATAGTCTCAATTATATTTTCCAGCTTATTCAATCTCACTTTTATTTTTATTATGTTATGATAATCACCATACATTACATCATTAGTTTTTGATGTAGTGTTCCATGATTCATTGTTTGCGTATAACA